GAAAAAGCATACTTTGTAAATGGCCATGGAAATATCACCCTATGGTAGATGGCCAAGCCAAAGAACAGGTACAAAGAATTTCCTGACAACACAAGGTTGGTTTTTAATCTTTACATATAAGACCCACAGTAAAGAAGGGGGGGAAAAAATGTGTCTCAACTATGACCTCTAGTGGACAAGTCATATAACTGTTGTCTCCAAAAATTTTTTCAAATGAAAACAAAACTAGGATACCCAAACCTAATAAAAACCTAAAGATGAGATTAAGGAGCTCAATGAAAAAGACATACAGCTAACCCTGACTTGCTAACCCTGACTTGAAAGGATTCAACCATGGGAAAGAGCTTTGGAAAGGGCAGGGCAGGGGGAACACAGGAATCGTCTTGTTTATGTTCAACATGCTTTGGGTACTTCTGTGGGGAAAGGAAGATAGGTTTCCTAACTTCAAGAAGCTTGTCATTGCTTATGGGTGGAACTTAGTAAGTAATTTCAATATGTAAAGCTAGTTTTCAGTGAAAGAGAAACAGACCAGCGAGCAGCGAGATCCAAAAAGGTAAGAGGAAGAAGGAAAATTCAGTGGGACAAGTCAGCCAGGAAGTTTGCTGCATAGGGAAAAGAACCCCTTAGTGGTCCTGAGCCGGCTTTCCCTAGCTGAAGGGGCTCTGGGGGACCCTTCCACCGTCCCAACACACCCCAGCTCAACTGTGATCACACAGACAAGGGGGATATCAAGACAGGACCCCATGTTACCCTGGGACACCCACATTCCAACACAGGGGACATGACCCCATGGGGAATAAGACACACCAAGTCTGGAGGCCTCTCTTCACCTCAGCCGTGTCCCTTCTCTCCCCTTCTCTGATGCCTTTCTCTTCAAGCAGGCACAGCAGTTCAGGCAATGGCTGGAAGAGTCACTGTGCCCCCAGCAACAGGCATCGAACCCAAGGAAGAAACTGCTGGCTGTCAAACTTTGGCTATGGATGGGGTCAGTAGTAGAGAGTTGCCTGGTTTTGCTCCCGGCACTGCTAACAAGAGAACGGTGGGAGAAGAGGTGCAGGAGAGAGGAGGGAGGTTAGAGAGGGAAGGAGGGGAAGAAGAAAGAAGGAGGAAGAAGAGGGGGAGGAAGGGGAGGAGGAAGAGAAGGAAGGAAAAAGAGAAGGGAAGGAGGGAAGAGCGGGAGGCAGACAGAGGTGGGAGGGAGGTGAACTTTTCTTTTGAACTTTGTTTTGAAAACACCTTTTGGGGGCTCCAGCCCACACCTTTCCTATCAGCAGCAAGATCTGGGGAAAGGACCCAGGCCTGGGAAAAGAACAGACTTTGCCAACACCCAATCCTGTGTCACCGCCCCAAGCACGCTTCTCACTGCAATACTGGTGAGGCTCTCCCAGTAACAGCCTTGACAATTCCGACATATTTTGATGTACATCAAAGAGATTATGAAGAGTATCTGCTCACAGGAGTGGGGCTGTGGCTCAGATAGGCAGAGGGTTTGTCAAGTATGCACAAAGCCCTGGGTTCAAACCCCAGCACTGATAAACATGAAAGCAGTGCTTTAGAAAGAGAAAATAAGTAGAGCTGGGCAATGGTGGCTCACGCCTATAATCCTAGCTACTCAGGAGGCTGAGATATAAGGATCATGGTTCAAAGCCAGCCTGGGCAGGAAAGTCTGTGAGACTCTTATCTCCAATAAACCACCAGAAAACTGGAAGCGGCGTTGTGGCTCAAATGGTAGAGTGCTTGCCATGAGCTGAAGAGCTCAGGGACAGCACCTAGGCCCAGAGTTCAAGCCCCATGACCGATTAAAACAAAACAAAACAAAAAACAAAAAAACAAATAGAGACTCAGACTTACATAAAAATAGGAAGACTGCCAGGTGGAATGGCTCACACCTATAATCCCAGTTACTAAGAGAGTCAGAGACCAAGAGGATCACAGAGTCCAGCCTCAGTATAAGTTCCAAAGATCCCATCTCAAAAAAACAACAAAAACAATGACCAAAAAAAAAAAAAATGAGCGGGGCACCCAGTGACTCATACCTTTATTCCTAGCAACTCAGGAGGCTGAGATCTGAGGATCACGATTCAAAGCCAGCTCGGGCAGGAAAGTCCATGAGACTCTTATTCCAATAAACCACTAGAAAACTGGAAGTGGCGCTGTGGCTCAAGTGGTAGAGTGCTTGCTTTGAGGTGAAGAGCACAGGGACAGCGCCCAAGCCCAGAGTTCAAGCCCCACGACTCACAAAAAAAAAATGAACTGGTTATGGTGTTCTACTCCTGTCAGGTCAGCTACACAAGAAACATAGACTAGCAGTCTAGGCCAGGCTAGGCCAAAACACTAGCTGACCCTCATCTAAAAGGACGAGGCTCAAGTAGTATTGGCAAGTGAGAGGCTCTGAGCAGCACCAAAAAACAAAACGAAATAAAAATGTTCAATGGAATCTCAGGATCATCCAGGCCTCAGGTGCTTCTTCCTCCTGGCTTCACCTGTACTACCAGGAGCTGACCTTGGAAGCCAAAGACATCAAGGTCAAATCAATCAGCAGGAAAGGGGACTTGAGCCCAGTGCTGCACAGATCAGATGCTCCTTAGGATGTTGACGCTAGCAAGTCCCAGCTTGCTTACGGAAGCTAGTCATTCATCCCATAAACAGGCAACGGGAAATGTCAGAGGAGAGTGTAATTGGCCTAACAAGAGAAAAACACAAATACTTCCGCAAGATACAGGCTGAGATGAGGGGTTTGTCTTTGAAGTCCCAGTGGTTTTAATGTAGTTCTGTCAGCCAGTCCCTATTAAAACCCCACGCAAGTGAAAGACACTGATTAGAATAAAAAGTGACAGGAGGGTGTGCTCCGCCACTTACATTTAATGCATATTTATAGTCTCATCAAATGGACATATTTACTATAAACACTCGAAAAAGAAAACCATAGCAAAGTCATTCATTTAAATGCCAGAAAAATAGGAAAAGATGCTAATTTGACCTTCATGTCAGTGACACTTCATCCAGCTTGAAACAGAATTTACAAAGACAATTAATTAGCGTTTACTGGATTAGGTCAACAGCATCTCAAATAAACTGGAAAAAATAAAATAAAATAAATAACAAAGCAAAACTAAAAAAAAAAAATCAAGGAGGGGGAAAAAATAGGAAGTCCAAATTCTTTCCCAGCCAGCCCCTTTAACAGCCAACATACTTGAACTTATTTCTGCCTTTTCAAAAGTATCTGATATTACAGGGCTGGAGAAAGACACTGACCTATTGATTTTCTGAAATTTGTATCTTTGCAGATGCGTAAAAAGAAATGAATGACAAGTATCTGCAAACACACACACACACACACCCAAGACCAGATAGATCAATGAATGCTGTAATAGGAACAAAGCAGTGTTGGCGTTTGTGCTAAATTAATTGTAAGTGGTTTTGGTTCCCTAAAAGATACAGATGATCTAACACTGGAAGAGCTGAGCAACCAAGCAAGGCTTTTATAAACTGGGTAACGGAGATGGTCAGGGATTTCTGTGTGAAAAGTCTTGGGGAATTTAGAGATCCTACCATCCACTCTTCAAAACGAATGTGAATTGCCTGGGAGCCAGAATCAGGGTCTGTGGAAGGAGCAGTAGAACTAGCAATGCATTACTTGTGAGCAGCGGTCACACAAAACTTGGGGGATGGAGGGGGGCCCTCACTTTCAGCTTTCATGGCTCTACTTCTTAAATGGGACAATTGTTTCCCCCTGTCTTTTTCAGCCAACAAGTACTGGGCTAAACATGAACTCATCTGCCTGTTCCCCGTACCTGAGGGGCATCATTCACTGCCAGTTCCTAATTCTCCGTAATCCACAGCTCGGTGACATCTCTCCGAGCTATCTGTAATGCACATGCTCGTGCACACGCACACGCATAAATTCATTCACAACACGACATTCTACTCGCTGTCATTGGACTCAGAAAGCTCCCGAACAAATTCTTGCCACGTGATTAGAAAAATCATTCAAGTCTGCAGGAAATATGGCAAGCAGCACGGAAATGACAGTCAATTAGGAGGGAGAAAGCAGAGAGGGTCGCTGTCATTAAAATCTTTAAAGCCTGTGCCCCAAGAATCAAAGGGCCCATCATTCACATAAGATATTAAAACAGAAATTAATTCTACTTCATATTGACCAGAACAAAACTCTGCTGATGTCTGAGAAAAATATTTTTGGAAGACGATGAGGGAGGAAGACCAGTCTAAGAGTTTGAGAAATGCAATTGAAAGTGCATGCAATTTATATAATAGTGTGGTATTTTTTCCCTTATCAAGTAGGGAAGAAATGAATATTCAACACTTAATTCTTCCCCTCTGGAGAATGAAATATAACAGTTCATATATATATATATATATAAACTTTTCCCTCTGTTTTTGTTTACTTTTACAAAGTGCTTTACTCCAAATATTAACTGTGATCACCTCTGTACTGCAGGATCATGACATATTTAATCTCCTCTTACTTATTTTTTATAATAAGCATGTTATTTGTAAAGGTAATACGACTATTACATGAAAATACCTACTCCTTTAAAAATGAAAGAATGTGTTTTGCTTTTGAGATGAAAGTCTCACTCTGTTGCCTAGGCTACTTTCCAATTCCTGGGCTCAAGTGATCCCCCTGCCTCAGCCTCCAGAGAAGCAGGAGTAATAGATGTGTGCCACCACACCCAGCTCCGTATTGCTTGAAAAGTTTTTGTCATGAAATGCTAACCAAATTCCCAGACAGTTCTAGTCTGCCTAGCACTTACCATCCCTGACTACAACTATTTTCTCTCTTAAGTTTATACACAGGATAGAAAAGAATTGTCCAAGTAAAACCAAGTACAAAATACACATCTTCTTTGTTATCACCTAACTAAACTTCTAAGTTCCCCCAAATAGTCATTTGTCTCTTTACAGGAAACAGCAACAGAAACTACCATTAAATGACCTAAAAGTGAGACACTAGGGAAACGAGAATAAAGTTAACTTACTTGTTAATTTGTTGTGGCTGAGGACCAGTTGCGTGATATGAGACAGGGTGACTGTAAAAAGAAAAATAAAAGAGAAATAAAATCACAGTCAGAAAATGTGTCTAAGTTATGCTTAACCCCTTCCCTCCACCAGGTAACTTGTTACAAGGATTTTTCACAAATTGAAGTGTTCTTGCTGAACACAGTCGCTCACCTAACACGTATCTGCTAAATGTTCTGCTTAATGAACAAGGAGTCAAGCAATTAATGGTGCAATCAGCACAGCCAGGTAGAGCTAATGAGATCTATGTCACGAGATCAAACTTAACAAGGGCCAGTTAACTTTGCTTGGCAACCTGATCCTCTGGCCTAACCTGGCCATCCATCTCAATAATGTACCACTCAGAAGAACCAGCCAAGAGTGCAGAGAAGCAGAGAGGCCTTGTCCAGGATTAAAAACCATTGCATCAAAACAGGATCATCATCTCACAGAAGGCCAGCAGGCTGCGGGCTCTGTGACCCATGTCTAGCCTTCACCACCATCTGCACCCCATCAGACGGCCCAAGCGAACCCCTCCAGAACCTCCTCAGCACAGACACGGGTTCAAGTTGCACAGCGCTGATCTGAAATGCAGATGGCGATGGGTTTCCAACGTGTATTATAAAAATTTCATCTGCTCAACAAGATGGCATTTGCTAGAGAATGGGGTTGTTCGCCCCCTCTTAACTATAACGGATGAAAATATACCCAGATAAATTTGAAAAAGAAAAAGAAAACTGTGACTTGTCTTCTTTCACTAAATTCTAAAACTTCTCCGCGATTAGCCACCAGGCTTTTCAGCTGCTGGCCGATTCTCTTCCCCTTGAAAACTACTGAGAATTAGGGGGAAAACAGGATGGAGATTTTGAAGCTATGCCAATAGCTTGTTCCTCACTAAACTTTGAATGTCCTCAACTCTGAATGTGCTCCATGGTTCCCCAACTAGCATACTCTTGTATGCTAGTTGTGGCAAGGCTGACTTTTATTATCATTATTATTACTATTATCATTATCATTATGATTATTATTACACCTGTGCCTGATAGAAAAATCAAACATTTCCCAAATACGCTTTGCATATATTCCTGCTGGACGACAATGGTCTAAACCACTTCTCAGGTGGGGAAAGATCCGGAATATAAATGAACAACACAGACCAATGCAGCAGCCATGTTGCTGTTGAGAAATCATGCTTCATTCATTTGTATGGCTCTGCTGTTTGCTCTTTTAGTCCAGGGTCATAAGCCCTTGGTGTTTATACTGATGCTCTCAAAGTGAGCCTCATGGGGCCAATGGAGGTCCATGCAGCCTAGCATCTGAGTCCTGTGGCCATACCACCACTGTTTCTAAGCACACCCTTGCTGGCCAACGTCTGGTACTCAAGTGTATCTTGTATGTTTTCCATATGTTTTCCAGGGATCAGTGATTTCTCCAAGAGGCTCTGGGGCCTTTCTATAGGAGAGGACTAAAAGACCCTTAACGTGCCCATAGTTATGGGGAGGTAGGTCGCTACTCTCAGCCTATCACAGTGGCTAGAGGTAAAGCGCTCTCTCTCTGTCTCACACACACACACACACACACACACACACACACACACACACACACACACACTTTATACCTGTAGTGATTTCACTATTTCCTTACATTATTAAAAACTATGAGTTCATCCCCAATATATCCCATTTCTGTACATCACAGGACTCCTCCTCATTTTCTCCCTCCACATCTGTAATTCCCATTGCGGACTGGAAGAACTCTGATTTCCATTATTTTTTTAATGGATTCACTCTTTAATTAAAACCCCTACGCACAAATACACAGAACAGTTACCTTACGGGGAGATCCGCTCCTATCACAGGGCTCTGTGTTCATGCTCAACTCCCCTGGAAGTCCAGTACTCATTCCTAGTACAAGTGGGCTACCCCTGCACCCACCCCAGGATCGGCCTGCTTATACTGTCCAGAGATACACAGATTGCTAGCCCACATCTGGATCCAGGGTCTAGTTGGGTCATGTGACTAAGCAAGTACAAAAGGCACTGCTAGGCATTTCTGCCCAGGTCCTGCTAGAACCAAGAATCCTCAGACACATCCTTTGGCTCATCATCTGGAGACATAAGGGCCCCGTGCACATAACAAGCAGTCCCAAGAGTCTCTGGGCTTTCTTTTCTCTTGTTGAGCCAGGTCTTGTGCCTTTATTAAATCCTGAGAGATCTGGAAAATCTGTGACCCCTTCCAATGAGGGGCCCAGTGTATTACTATAGCTAGGACATGCTCTTTTCTTGCCCAGATACCCTCCTCGCTCTGCCCAGATGCTGATCACTGACTTATGCCAGCCTCCACTGAATGTCCCAAATGCCTAGGCTCAGAATTCCCTGCCTAGAGGTGACGGGGGGGGGGGGGGCCCTCATCTACTTTCTTATTCTGATAGTTACATGCTTCCTTTCCTGTCCCACTTAATGGCTTTAGGATGGATTGGTGTGTACACACACACACACACACAATAGAATTTTATCCACTAGAATTGTATCATTTGCAAAGAAATGGAAGGACATGGAAAAGAGAGACAAAGGATACATGTGTCTTCTGTGTGGAAGGCAGAAATTATAAATGTGTACATAAACACTTTGGGGTTGTGTACAAGCATACACAAATGTGTTCTCCCAAATATGGTATGCTCAGGGGAGAACTCATGCTGTGTAGTTCCTTAGAAAGGCTAACTTTCAGAACAACAAAATGAGTATTGGGAAACAGGTTCTCTAAAGATGGGAAGTAGGGCCGCGGGGAGGGGGTAGACAAAGAGAGATAGTGGGGGAGAATACAGTCCTAATAGTTAATGAAATCCTATGAGATGAAGGAAATTGAGGGGAGAGGTAAGGTTGGAAGGGGTGGAGGAGAATGATAAAAAGTGTGAGATAGTCATCCAGATGCCTTATATTCATAAACTACTCCTTTGTACAACAATAAGACAAATATAATTTAATTGTTTAAAAAAAAAAAAAAACATGACAGCAACTTCTTACATCATGCTTAAGATGGTAGACGCTACAGAAAACCTCACACATTTTTATGGGTAAGGGTGAGGACTTTCTTGTCCACTAAATAAAGGAAGGATTCCTCTATCTCTGAGGTATATAATCTGGCACGAAACCTTCAAGAAACCTTGAAATGCTCCTGCATATCCAGCAAGATGAATTGGACATCGAGATGAATCTGTTCGGATTACGGTCAGCTTCCTGGAGAGCAAAGTGACAATTACCCCAAGGATGTAGCTCGATGACAGGGTGCCTGCCTTGTATGCACAAGTCCCTGGGTTCCAGCCCAAGTGCCACAAGAAACAAACAGCCAGGATTATGGCAAAGCTAGGCTTTCTCCTGAATGGATGAATTCAATGTAGAGTCTCCTCCCATCTTGTTCCTCACTCCTACCTTTTAGGGACTCAAATATGTCTCTCCAAATTCACATGTTGAAGCACTAACCCCCAGGGATTTTTCTCTTATTGTGACCTCCTGGTCTGTCATATTTCTGTTCAAGCAACCCAACCGATGAAGACATACCCCATGGTCCAAAGTGATTGCCCAGCGCTAACCATCATGCGATACTTCCCTTAGGAAAACAAAAAGGAAAAAAGTGGTTTTTTTATTTTGTTGTTGCTGGGGTTTTTTTTTTTTCTTTTAAGGATAACTCCAAGAAGTTACAAACGGGATTTCCACTTACAAGCAATTAATCAAAATTCAAAAGTACAGGAATGCCTAATTACAAGGGAGGGGAGGTGGTGTGCTGTGGGAAATGTGGTCTCTTCCAGGCAATCATGGGCCCCACAAAAATTAAGAGTTCTGTTGTCAAGAAAGATGGGACAAACTTGCAGATAATTAACAGTCTTTCATACTGGAATTTTCCAAAGATATAGCAAGTAACTAATTAGAAAGGAAAAAAAAAACAACTGTTACGCTCTCCTCAATGAAAAGCCAAGTTCACAGTGACAGATTTAATGAGGGAAATTCATTCTTGTCAATCAGCCCACTGTGTCTGACCCACAAACACTTAGCAGGAGAGAAAGTAACAAGGTTGAAAAGTTGGTGTTTTCTTGAATAGTTTGATTGTTGCTTTACCTGACCACACCAGTAGAAAGGTTTTTCTGTTTGTTTGCTTCTCTGTTTTGTCTTGTTTTGGCGGGTCTCAGGGCTTGAACTCTGGGTCTGTGTGCTGTCCCTTTTGTACTCAAAGCCAGTCTCCCCCACTTGAGCCATAGCTCCACTTCCAGTTTTTTGGTGATTTATTGGAGATAAGGAGTCTCATGGACTTTCCCTGCCTAGGCTAGCTTCAAAACATGATCCACAAATCTCAGCCTCCTGAGTAGCTAGAATTATAGGCAAGAGCCACGGGCATCCGGCTGAACATGTAATTTTTCTTACTATTGTTACAGGGCTATAAGCCAAAGTAGGTTAAGATGGAGAGAAATTAGAACAGAGAAAGGGGGAAAGTTAATGAAAGAGCTTTGAAAGAAACACATATTTAGGGCAACAAAAGACTGCAGGCAATAACCACAGGGAGAGAGCAGTTAAGTTAGAAAGAAACAGGAAGAAGTCACAAAGCACGGATGCACACAGACCAAGCAGCAGCGCGTGCATTTGTACAACCAGCCACCGCTGGGAGAGAGTAGCTCGTTTCGAGTCTCCTAAGGCAAGTGGCGCTGTGAGAAAAATACAAAAGCTGTACAAAGTAGAATGGATTATTTACGAGTTCAAAAGCCAAGTTAGGCACTGGTGGCTCATGCCTGTAAACCCAGGAGGCTAAGATCTAGGGATTGTGGTTCAAAGCCAGCCCAGGCAGAAAAAGTCGGTGTGAGACGCTTATCTCCAATGAGATAACCAGAAAACTGGAAGTAGAGCTGTAGCTCAAAGTGATAGAGCACTAGCCTTGAGCAAAAGTGCTCAGAGACAGTGCCCAGGTCATGAGTTCAAGACTCACAGCCAACAAAAATAAGAGACCAAGACCCTCCCTGCCCACTGTCAAAGATGTCTAAGGATGGA